ACCGGAAAACACGAAGTCGTTTCGAGCAGAATATTTAAATATCATCAGAGAGGAACTACACTCAGTCTGAGGCATATGGATGTATAGTATTTACTTGTTTTATGGAATTACCGTAGGTGTCTAGCGAATATGTACATTTAGTGTTTGTTTACAAAAAAAAATATAGTTGAATCCCAGTAATAATTGATCGACAGTACGTAGCCACTCGTTTGTAAATACTAAATGTCAAAGCTTCCAGTTATTTTTATAATGTACGCGACGTTTGAATGCAACTATCCGAAAAGTGCAACCAAAATAGTGGATTGTTTGGGTTACGTTTATTCAATTAATGTTATGGGTAAGTAATTACCTGTATTCCCTTCGACGAAATTATGTGAACCGTTGATCTCTGTATTGTGTAATCTTGTGTAATGCACTAACTCTGTTCCTGTAATATCAAAACAATCAGTCATATATTTAATAACAGCCACAATGTAATATAATAAGTCATATTTGATATAACAACTGTATACTTGTAATAACGAACATATCCAACGCCGCTAATGTAATAATATCATTGATATAAAAAAGAAACAAATAAAATCTAGAATCACCCTTTGACATCGGCTCATTTGTGATTAATAGTATCTGCTAAAGTGTGCTTTGCTGAATTATGGGTAATTTCCATATTCTGCAGTGTTTTCTTTTTTAGTGAATTAGAATAATGTTGGCGTTTTCAGTGACCAGAGATCATTTGACTGTGTGACAAATTGATACATGTTTGGGGGTAATTTCACAATGATCTCCCTTATTCTTGGGATTGACCTTTCATATTCATGAACAAGTGTGCAAAAAAACGTCATGGTGTTTGCCACAGAAGTCGTCTGGGTATATTTTAGATTTATCCGCGCCAGTGCGAGTGAAGCAGTCATTTATGGTTTTGAAAATATCTGTGATGTATGTTAGTGTTTTGTTAATGTATGTTCGAAATATTTATTTGTAGCTGATTTAAGGGGACTTTTACATTTCATCAATCGTGTTTCTGGACTGTCCAACTATATTTCATAACGCATTACACTACATAATGAGTAAGTAATTAATTAATTATTTAAAAGAAATAACTGAAGTACAGGAATAAATATTTCAAATTAAAAGATTACGAAGCAAACTGTGAAATGTTTTTGTTCAAGACAGTTATTTATATTGTGCGCAAAATTGCCCATTCATTAATCTAAATTCCTCAGTCATATAGGGACATTCACAAAATGCAACACTATACTTGGGATAGAGTACATACACACACATACAGTGGTACACGAGAGAACATGATCAGTATCGGGACATTCACAAAATGCAACAATATACTTGGGATAGAGTACATACACACACATACAGTGGTACACGAGAGAACATGATCAGTATCGGGA